TTTTGGTTATTTGGACCGATTTGGTCGACATTTCTGAAATATAGGAAATGTCGACCGAAATAATGTAATTTTTATATTACCATCCATTTTCATGTCGGTGAGTCTCGACATCGACATATGTTGGGCGACATTAGTGACATTTGAAACCATGCTAGCAAGGGCATTGACCTGTATATAATCCATCTAATTGAGTCGTTCATCGTAGATGTTGTAGCATGTCTAGTTGGATATACAATATTTTATATTTCAGATGTAATTTTTGGTCTTTCCTTGATTTGTTGTTGATGTCCAGTTAGATTCTGACTGTTAGTTGGGTGTACTAGTTTTTCATTTCATGGGAGTAATTAGTTACTTGTCCTTTTTTATGTAATTACATTTCTTTCTCATGAAGGGGTATTGCTTGGGCCTTGGTGTAATGGTAAAATCTCAGGCCGGCAAGTGTGAGAATGCTGGTTCAAGTCTGAGAGTGGCTGCTTTGTTTAAAAAAAAGTGCCAATGGTTAGGTCCATATCCAGTCCACCCCTCCCAAGGCCCTAGATGGCTGGGACCAACATTGGGTAATAATGCAGGAGAACAGGTCTAGCAGATCTGTTCTAGTGATTTTTACAGAAAAAATCACCCAAGCTGCTTGAGAAATTCTAGAGAAAGAAGAAAATAGAGTGAAGAAAGAAAAAGCAGCTTTCTTGAGCTTGAAGCAATTGAGTATCCTCCTTTTTTCTTCTTTGAACATCAGTTAATAATGTTCTTATATAGAAGTTCTATTTAGGTCAGCAGCCAATTAAACCTAGAAATTACAAAAAAACCCCTGTCCCAAAATAGTAAGGAAAACCCAAAAATAACCTTTTTTTCTAATAGCTATATACCTTGTAAGACTCTTCCTAACAATAATTATCCACTAGAAATCATTAGTTGACTGAGCAACAACCTAGGAAATCATCAAAGCAAAATTAAAAAAAGAAAATAGCTAAATTCAAGCACGGGAATTCTTAACTTTCTTGTTCCTTCAAGATTTGTCATGTGTTTCTTCATAATTAAGTGTTGCAGCTTCTACATCAGTCCCCTCCACTTGAAGAGGACTTGCCCTCAAGTCTTGTTTGGAGATGGGTGAATTGTACTCAAAGAGATCAGCAACATTGAAAGTTCTAGATATATTCACGGAAGTAGGAAAGTCTACAACATGGGCATTGGCATTAATCTTCTTCATGATCTTTTAGGGTCCAATCTTCTTTCGCTGCAACTTGTTGTATTGCCATATAGGGAACCGGTCCTTCCTTAGAAATACCATTACTTCATCTCCTTCTTGGAAAAACTTTGGTCGCGTATGATGATCAGCTGCTTCCTTATACTTGGCTTTGGCCTCTTCTAGGTGTTTCTCTACTTCTTCATGAATGGATATGATCTTGTCAACAAAGTAAACTATATCCTGGCAATTTTTGAGGTGGCACCAAGTCTAGTGCGTCAAAACACAATCTAAAATGGAGATTTGCTAGTAGATCTGTTCACCATGTTATTATATGCAAATTCTGCTTGTAAAAGAGCTAAATCCCATTGTTTAGGCTTTCCATTAGATAGACTGTGTATCATATTACCAAAAGTCCTTTTCACCACTTTTGTTTTCCCATCGGTTTGATGATGACAAGTTTTGCTAAATTGTAGCTCAGAGTCAAACCATCACCATAAAGTCCTCCAAAAGTGGCTAAGGAACTTGGAGGAGGGAGATGGGATGAAGATGGCGACAACCAAGAGGAGGTTTTTGTTGGGGAAGATTAGGTTCTTTCTTCTGCTTGACTCATCTTGCTCACTGCTGCAATTGACCTTTATGAAATTGGTCTAGGATCTGGTGCCGAAGGAGTTAGTTTTCTTTTCTTTTCTTTCTTCAGAGTCTTTTGTTGGCTGTTATTTAGTGTAAGAAGTGTCTAAGTTAGTCTTATCTTCTTTCGAGTGATTTTTTATCACCTTCCTCTTTATAAAAAACTGTGTCATGATCTGAGGTAATAGACTTTGGAATGCCATGTAGTTTAATCACTTTTCTAAAGAATAGGTTGGCTACATGTGTTGCATCAGTTGTCATCCTCAAGGAACAAAATGAACCATCTTCGAGAAACCCAAGCACAGTACATGAAAAGATCCTCCCAAGCACCCTTTGGAGTAGGCAATGGCATGTACAACCCTGTGTTTTGGGTATCCCCTTTAGATGTCTGGCAAACATAGCAACCTTGTAGAAACCTCCCAACATCCCTCTTGAGATGTAGCCAATAATAACGCTTGTCCACCATTTCAATGGTCTTGTCTCTGCTCAAATGACCCCCATTATGTAATTCTTTAATGATTTTCTCCCCTGAGGATCCTCTAGGAATGCATAATCGAGTTCCTAGAAAGAGAAAACCATCGTGTAAGGCAAACTCACTATGCTGTCCCATTTGGAGTTTTTCCCATTCAACCTGGAAATCTTCATCTATAGCATAGAGTTCTTTTATGCATTTGAACCCTATGACTTCTGCTTGTAATGTTTTCATCAAAAGAACCCTCCTACTCAAAGCATCTGCTACTTTATTCTGTTCCCCTGATTTATGCTTGAGAGTAAAAGTAAACTCTTGTAAGAAGGCTATCCATCCAGCATGCATATGGTTAGTAGTGTTCGTGTTATTAATATACTTCAAAGCTTGATGGTCGGTATATAAAACAAACTCCCTTTGGACCAAATAATCCTTCCAATGCTTCAAAGCCTGCACTACTGCATATTAGCTCTTGGCCTCTTGCTCATAGGTAGACCATTTCCTTCTAACTTCATTTAATTTTCACTATAGAAAGCCATAGGTCAATTCTCCTGAGACAGTACAACACCTATACCTGCCATTGAAGCATCACATTCCACCTCAAATAACTTATCAAAGTTGGGCAAAGCAAGTACAGGAGCTTTGGTTAGCTTCTCCTTTATCAATTGAAATGCCTTTTCTGCCTCTAGTATCCTTTGAAACTGCCCCTTTTTTTAAGTAATCATTAAATAGGACTGACAATGCTGCTGAAATTCCGTATAAATCGCCTGTAGAAAGTAGCCAAACCATGGAAAGAGTGCACCTCGTGTACATTTTTAGGCGAAGACCAATCTCTAATAGCCTTAACCTTTTCCTCATCAACCATAATGCCTGAGTCACTGACCACATACCCAAGAAAGCTGATTTTGGTGGAAAATCTCAAATACTTCTTGCAAACGTTGTAGGTGTTCTTCCTTGTCCTTGCTATACACTAGGGAGCAAGGTTTGGCTGAATGTGATGGCTGTTCAGCGGGCTGTGGAACCAATGATGAGGTTCCACGCCAGTATTTAAATACATGGGGCCCGCACCTTTTACGGGTCCATGAATTTATTACTGGTGTGGAACCTCATCATTGGTTCCACAGCCTGCTAAACAGCCACCACATTCAGCTAATCCGAATTCTACACTAGGATATCATCAAAATATACTACCACACCTTGCCAATCAATGGCTTCAAAACATGGTTCATCAACCTCATGAATGTGCTGGGGGCATTGGAAAGTCCAAAAGGCATAACTTTCCACTCATAACAATCCTTCTTTTGTCTTGAAAGCTGTTTTCCATTCATCTCCAGGGCAGATTCTGATTTGATGACAACTACTCTTCAAATCAATCTTAGAAAACATTGCTGCCCCATGAAGCATATCTAACATATCATCCAGCTTAGGGATCGGAAACCGATATTGAACAGTTATTTTATTGATGGCCCTACTGTTCGCACACATCCTCCAACTTCCATTCTTCTTTGGTGTAAGTAAGGCTAGAACAACACATGGGCTAGTACTGATTTACACCATTCCCTTCCTTAGAAGTTCAACAACTTGCCCTTGGAGTATTTCATGATCCTTAGGACTCATTCTATAATGTGGCAAATTTGGCAAACTAGCCCTTGGAATAAAGTCAATAGCATGCTGTATTTCCCTCATACAACCTATCACTGTCAGGTAATTCCTTAGGGAAAACACTTTTATATTCTTCAATTAATGGTTTCATGGCATTGGGTACATTGGTAGGCAGGGAACCCTCACCCTTGGCAACAATAGCATATATTTGCCCAGTCTCTTTAGATTCCTCCAAGAATCTTTGAGTAAGAAGAAGGGTACGCCCCTGCACTTGACAAGCTTAGGGGCATTCCTTTATTCTCAAAGGTGCAAGAACAATCTTCTGTTTATTTTTAGTGAAAATATAAAGATTATCTTTTCTCTTATGAGTGACATCATAACGAAATTGCCAAGGTCTTCCCAAAATAAGGTGGCTAACATCAAATAGTAGTTCATCAAAATATACATTACCAATAGAGAAAGCCACCTTGCATTGTTGTGAAACCTTTTCCGGCTGAATCTTCTTCATCCAACCAGCAATGAAGGGATCGGTGTTAGGCCTTTTTGGAAAGCCCAACTGCTCTACAATTGATTTGGCAATGACATTCATTTCTGCCCCACTATCAATAATTAAATCACACACTATATCTTTTATTCTACAATGTGTTTTGAAGATCTTCTTCTCTTGTGTGTCAAGCATTGGTTGCTTAACTGCATGAAGAATACACTTGACCATACCAAAAGATCTCTCTTCTTCCGGAAAATCCCAATGAACATCATCTCCCAAAACCTCTTCTTCATCAACAATAGGCTCTTCATTTTGAGGTTGAAAATCTGGGTTGTCTTTTAACCTGTTCTATCATATACACTCCTCTCGTGCATGGAGTGGGCAAGAGCTAGATGTGTGACCACTTCCCCCACACCTATAGCATTTATTCCCTATAGGATATGCATAGGGGTTGTTACTTTTAGGTTGATTACCTTGCTGGACAGGTTGGTATTGTCATGTTTGAGGCTGAATTAGTTGCCCTCTAGGCTGGTTCTTTTGTTGGAAAGTGTTATGGAATGGGGCAGTGGGCATTCCAGCCTTAGGAGCATTCAAGAGAGAGTTTTCCCCTTCTTGACAATAGTCTCAACCCTAGATGTCTCACCCAAGTAGTGCCTTCCTAAAGTTTGGTGTCTAATTGGGTATCGTTCAAGATGTCTTTCAGCCTTTATAGCTAAACAAATAGCCTCACTCAATTCCTACACATCTTGGGCTGCAACTCTTTCTTGTATAATTGGTTTGAGACCCTCAATAAACCGAGCAGCCTTTTGTGGTAGAGTTTCAACCAACTCATTATGAACCGAAAGCCTGAAAAATTCAGATGCACTCCCTAACCCCACGTGTACCTTGCACACAATGTTGGTATTGTTGAAACAAGTATTGGTCATAATCACGTGGAAGGAATTGAGCCAAAAGTAGTAACTGCTTCATTCTTGGCGATGTCCTAATAGGTTGCTTTCCAGCTCTAACTCTCTCCATCTGAACTTGATCATACCAAGCAGCAGCTCCCCCTTTCAGCTTATAAGAGACCAATTTCACCTTCTTATTTTCTGTTGTCTCAGCAAAATCAAAGAATTTCTCCACCTCACGAATCCAATCTATCTAGGAAATCTTCAATATGCAACTGTCCATTGAAAGTTGGCAACTCTATCTGCATCTTGTAATCCCTATCACCATTATTCCTTCTTCTAGTTGGTTGTTTAGCATCAATTGGCCTTCCCATACCCTGATTTTCATCTTCAAAATCATCAAAATCTTCCTCTTCGTCACTAAAATCAAAGGCTGTTGCTAGGGCTTGGAAATGTGGTTGTTCTTGGGGCTGGACCACCACTCGTGGCTGAAACCGATTCCCTAGATCAACTCTCCTTGCTGGTACAGCAGGGAAACCCCTAGTTTCTTCTAGGGTTGGGGCTGTACTAGGCGGCTGAAGATTAGTCCTAGTGATTACTTCAGTCAACTGCCTAATAGCAGCTTCTAAACCTTGAAAGGATGCAGCTTGTTGCTGTTGTAACTCTGTGATGGCTGAGAGAATCTCAGATCCATCACTGGAAGCATTGTTGTGGGCTTTGAGAGAAAACTCAGGCTCTGATACCACCTAATGCAGGAGAGCAGGTCTAGAAGATCTGTTCTAGTGATTTTTACAGCAAAAATCACTCAAACTGCTTGAGAAATTCAAGAGAAAGAAGAAAATAGAGTGAAGAAAGGAAAAACAGCTTTGTTAAGCTTGAAGTAATTGAATATCCTCCTTTTTTCTTCTTTGAACGTCAGTTATGTTCTTATGTAGGGGTTCTATTTAGGTCGGCAGTCAATAAAACCCAGAAATTACAAAAACACCCCTGTCCCAAAATAGTAATGAAAGCCCAAAAATAACCTTATCTAATAGCTATATACTCTGTAAGACTCTTCCTAACAATAATAATCCACTAGAAATCATTAATTGCCTGAGAAACAACCTTGAAAATCATCAAAACAAAATTAAAACAAGAAAGTAGCCAAGTTCAAGCACGAGAATTCTTCACTTTCTTGTTCCTTCTAGATTTGTCATGTGTTTCTTCATAATTAAGTGTTGCTGCCTCTACATCAGGTAATGACCTTTTTCACTTTTTTATCTCATGAATGGAAGTTTCTTATTTCTATTAAAAGCAAAATAAAATCCCCTCAGCTCTGCAACAGAATGCTTTCTGATAGAAGTATGAAATTGTCATTCCATCTCACTTATTTCTTTGCTAATAAAATAGTCTCTGGATCTCAAATATTATATGCTTCATTCTATCTATCTTGAAGGTTTTCTGTTTGTCTGTATTTTGTAGAAAGCAATGTGTTAATAGCTTAAAATCAAGTTCCCCTAAATAATCCTGATTCCAGACATAAGATCACATGAGACTTGGAAAAATATTAGGTGGAAACTAAATATGAAAAAAGGTGAATAGTAGTTAATGTTGGATGCAATAGAGTATTTGGTTCTTTCACTTCTTTTACTGCAAAATTTCAATTGAGTTTGTATTGGATGTACAGAAACCTGACATTGGAGGCATGGCGGAATTTCTCAAGCCACTGAATGAAGTGATCATGAAGGCAAATGCATTGACTGAAGGAAGACGATCTGATTTCTTCAACCACTTCAAGGCTGTTGCTGACAGTCTCACAGCTTTAGCTTGGATTGCATACTTAGGCAAAGACTGTGGTAAGATAATTGTGTATTAATGTTCCTATGCTAAAAGCAGATGGTTTCAGTTTAGCAACTATGTTTCTTTCTCCTTTATTTTTCAAGGTATGAGTCTTCCTATCACACATGTGGAAGAAAGTTGGCAAATGGCAGAGTTCTACAACAACAAGGTATAAAAGAGGTGATTTGACTTTTAATAGTTTACCACTATGCAACAGGAGCATGTTTTTCTTAGTGGGGAAACAAAGGGCTAGGGGCAATATATTGCTTAGATCCTTGTTTCGTTTTGATGCTTTTAAGATCAAATTGCCCTCTTGTATATTCTTCTCTCTTTTAAGAGAAAAATGAAAAATTTGATGTTTACTTTAAAATAAAAACTCATATTAGCAATAGAATCACGAGGTTTAGAAGAAATGCATTTCTTCTTTATTGCTTTATGCTATAAAAACATTGTTTATATTTTAAATTATGCTTGATTTTAAAACATTTGTCTACTAAAATAATCTATAAAAGTGAAACCTATTTATTGTGTCACATTTTTGGGCTTCCCTTATTATGAACTTTTAATTTTTATTTGGTTCATGGACTGGAATTATTTAATCCTGTGATGTTAGTCTACTTAAGCCAATGTGAATTCTGCAGGTTAATACTGACTTTCCACTTTTTAAATCAGGTTCTCGTGGAGTACAAAAGTAAAGACCCTAATCATGTGGAGTGGGCTAAAGCTCTAAAGGAGCTTTACATGCCAGGCTTGAGGGATTATGTTAAAAGTTTTTATCCTTTGGGCTCTGTATGGAATCCTACTGGAAAAACAGCTACTACCCCTGTATCAGCTCCATCAAAAGCTTCCCCAATAAATGCCCCTGCCCCTCCACCTCCTCCACCCACTTCTCTCCTTACGCCTGAATCTTCTGGCACTTCATCATCGCGTTCAAAGGAAGGGTTGGCAGCAGTATTTCGAGAAATCAATTCAGGGAAGCCTGTGACTGCTGGTAATGGAACAATATATTCTATATTTGATGGAATCATCTCTTTTTTAGATGGCTTATAATGTCATTTTAATTTGAATCCTTCCTTCATAGATCTAAGAAAGGTAACGGATGATATGAAGACAAAGAACCGTGCTAATAGAACTAGCATTGTTGGTTCCAGTGAAAAAGATGCACGCACTAGTTCTCCATCATTTTCTAAGGCAGGACCTCCAAAGTTGGAGCTTCAAATGGGTCGCAAGTGAGGATCCTAAGAATTTCTTTAACATTGAAAGCTAGCCATGTTTCAGGAAGCATCTTTCTTGATAAGCTTTATACTTATGTAAGAGGTGGATTTGGTATTTGATTTGTCTATTGTTACATATTTAACAGGTGGGTGGTTGAGAATCAAATTGGGAGAAAGAACTTGGTTATTGATGATTGTGATGCAAAACAATCTGTATATGTTTTTGGGTGCAAGGACTCTGTTTTGCAAATCCAAGGTAATTGCTGCTTCCCATAAGCTGTACCAGTATTTTTGGGCTGGTTATCCAACTACTTGTATATAACAAGGCTGGGCATCCAGTCCTTGAATAAACTTTTCTAGGTTTTATTATCAGAAAGAAAATGAATTTGTTATTACTTAAACAATTTGCAGGGAAAGTGAATAATATAACAGTTGACAAGTGCACTAAGATGGGGATTGTATTCACGGTTAGTACATGTGAATAAAATGGCTATTCTTGCATGAGACTTGAACATAGATTGGACTTGACTCTGTGTGGCTTTTATGGTTGAAACAAAGGATGTTGTAGCAGCTTGTGAGATCGTGAACTGTAATGCTATTGAGTTGCAATGCCAGGTATACATCTATTTCTGATTCTTGGAATTCTTGCATTTGAGTTTTAAATGGTTATGCAAAAATTTATCAATTAGAAGAAGGTGCATTCACCTAAATATGAGAATGGATTATAGTTTGCTTCTTTTACTTTTTTCTTTTTTTTGCTTACCAGAGCAGTGAGATTTTTTTAGTTCGTTCTAGCAACCCTCTTCTACTGCTTTCAGGGCTCGGCTCCAACAATTTCAGTGGACAATACAGGAGGCTGCCAATTATATCTGAGTAAAGAGTCTCTGGGGGCTTCTATAACAACTGCTAAGTCAAGTGAAATAAATGTATTAGTACCTGGTGGTGGCCTTGATGCTGATTGGGTATGGACTTGTCTTTGTTTACCTGGATTTGCTATATTTGCAGATGCTGCTCGAATTGTTTTATTTGGGTGGGGTTGGGATGTTGCAGAGTGTCTAAATATGTTTCTCTAGGGTATTTATATGCCCCTTTTTCATTTTGTACCATCTAATATAAAGTACCGACCTTTTAGAGTTTCAGATATTATATAAGGTACTCATGAATTTGCATCTGATCTACCCTCGGTAAAAAGGAAAATAAAAAGAACTAGAGTTTCATTTGTAAGAATAGGCTTTCTTTCTTTTTTTTTTTTTGGGTGCAAAGTTAACTGAGAATTTTATTCAAAAGCAATAGAGTTTGCAATTTGACAATGTGATTATTACTCTCTAGATAACAATATATTGCCCTTTGCCATAGGTTTATATCCCATAGTCAGTTCTTCATGTGGAGAGAGGCTCTCTTCATCTGCACAAACTGGTTGATGCATCAATTTTATATGCATGACGTTTTTGACTCTATATTTGTATAAAACTAACATGGTTTTGGCTTTATAACATGCATGGAGCATCCTAGTACTAAATCTTGCACTTGTTTTAACTTTTTTTTTACTGAAATTGATCAATGAACTCTTTATTTATGAGACACCATTGAATCACCCTCAATTTTCTTGGAAGGAAACATGTTCAGAAATTTTGGAATAACTGAACTCTTTGGCCAACATGTGGAATATATCTTGGAACTAAAATAAAAGGCCATTACCCAATGTTGATCCCAGTTATCTAGGGTCTTTGGAGGTGTGGACTGAAAGCCTTTGGCATTTTTTGCACAAAGTGGATGATCTCAGACTTGAACCCACATTCTCATGCTTGTCAGCCCAAGAATTTTCCAATAGCATTACACCAAGTAATGACCCCTATTATGGAACTTAAATGATAAGGTTGAAACATTTTTGTGACATTATGCTGCCTTCCAAAAAGCATAACAAACAAAAAAAAGGATTAAGATGTTGAGTAAATATTAAAGAAGATGATGCAGCAACCTTTACTGATTAGACAAGCAAGTTCCATTATGAGACCCTCCGAAGAGACAATGCAGATTGCGGAGAACTAGAGGAAAGGGACAAGTTTAAATATTCTGAAGTCACATCCAGTGAATTAACTAAATAGTTTTGATGTCAGTAATTTCAGAGATAGGGGTATGCTAGAGGGTAGTGTGAGGATGGCAGGTTAGTGGAGAAAGTGTATGCTTTGGGGGGGGGCAGTTGTAATTAGTTTTTGAGATAGCTGGATTTGAGGGCATATTTTCTGGGTATTGTTGCTTGGGATCTGTCTTTTGAGGATGGGGAGAGTGACTTTTATGGGGGCATTGGGGTTGACAGAAATGACAAGATATTTTAAGGTAAAGAATTAGATACTAACTCCTTTATTGGCCTTACCATGGTGAGAATTGCCCATTTAGTTTTGGCATGTGGTGTGTCTGTTAATGGCCTATGGAGAGGATGGCAAATAATTGTTGTCTATCAAGTGAGAAATCAGCAAAGACAAAAGCACTGGAGCGTGCTTGAAGTAGGTGAAGTCAAAATTAAATTTTGATGGTAGTTTAGGTGACCCAGGCACTTCTAGAACTGGTGGTGTCTTTAGAGACTGCTAAAGCAGTGTTCTCAGCTATAAAGGGCCCATTGGGCATAGTAACTCTGTCTCTCTCAAGGCTGAAATTCTAGTTCTATGGCCTATGTTTGGTACATATGCATAGATGGATATATTAATTGTTGAAGGGGACTGTCAAGTTCTTTTTAATTGGGTGAGAATAGAAGAGGATATTCTGTGGAGGTACCAGTCAATGGATAGACAGGTATAGGCTCTAGGACACAACCTGAATAACTCATTCAGGTGGATCCCTAGGACAGCAAATACTTGGCTGATTCCCTAGCTAAAATGGGTGTAACTAGGGGTGCTCATGGTTCGGTTAACCGAACCGTGGGGTATTTTTTCAAACCGAACCGACCTGATTGGTTTTTTAAATATTCAAACCGAAACCGAACCGATGCAATTAGGTAACCGGTTCACCAGTTAACCGCGGTTCGGTTTTTCGGCTTTTTTATGCACTTAAAATAAAAAAAAAACTAAAACTGTTGGTGGATGGTGGTTGCTGTCGGTGGTAGATTTTTCATTTATTTTTTCATTTTTCATGAAGATGGTGGATTTTTCATGAAGACGGTGGTTGTTGTCGGTGTCAGCACTGGTTGGTGGTGCCTGGCGGAGACGCAGAGAGGAGAGGTGAGAGAGAGAAGAGAGACGGAAGCCTGTTCGACGGGCTTGGTGCTGCTGTGCTGGTGGTTGGCATTGGACTGTTGGTGCTTGCTTGCCGATGAGGCGGCGACTGGCGTTGCCACTGGTGCTGCCATGCTGGTGGTTGACGTGGGCCGCGTGGCCATCTGGTGTGGGGATTGGAGAACAAGACAAATGAGAGACAAAAGTAGAGAAATGAGAGTGAGAGAAAGGCAAAACACAAAAGAGAAATGAAAGAGCGAGAGAGTGAGACTATGAGAGAAATGAAAGAGAGAGACCAAAGAGAAAAGTTGAAAAATGAGAGACTGAATGAGACAAAAGAGAAAATGCCAGACTGGCAGATTGGTAGTGTTGGGAAAAGATAAAAAAGAACCAATGGGCGAGGGACAATATTGGAGACTGTCAGACTGGCACTACCGAAAAAGGTTGAAATTTGAAAGAGAAAGCCTGAAGCATATTGCCGAGCTCTTTTATTCGAATTAAAAAAAAATAAAAAATATAATATAACATATATATAATATTATATTGTATTGTATATATCGGTCGGTTCGGTTAACCGTCGGTTTTTTTTTAAATGGTTAATCGAAACCGAACCGAAACTATTGGTTTTTTAAGAATGTCGAACCGACTAGTTTGGTTAATCGATTTTTCGGTTCAGTTTTGGTCGATTCGGTTTTTCAGATTTTTTTGCTCACCCCTAGGTGTAACTAGGGAAAATCTTGTATGGATATTGCCAAGGCCAGGGATTAACTTGTACTACTTACCTTTCAAAATTACTATTGACTTTGGGCTTTTGTATTGGTCCATGCTATCCAGTTTTTTGGGTAGTATGGTTTTATTTGAATGAAATTCATACTGTTACCATAGTAACTGTTTTTCTTTTCTTGTATCTCCAAAAGTATCCACTAAAAATGTTATGAAATGCTGCAGTAGTTTGGGCTATTTGGGGTGAAAGGAATAGGAGGATTTTTTACCAAAAACAGTCTCAAGAAGAGGTGTTGATTAAACAAATTATTGAAAACCTTAGAAGATGGTTGAGTATTAACCTACGGTTCAAGGATGATGATCTTTTGCCTTCTTTTTTTGCTGTTTACATTTTTGGGGTCTCTTAATGGTTCATATGTGCAGAATCTTTTTGTACAGTGAACTAACATACTTGTATACTTCTTTTTGATTAATACAATTTTACCCTACCTTTTAAGAAAAATGCTGTACTAGTTGCTCTCACTATGTCCTGGTAAATGGTGTTTATGTGCTAATTACTTTTTTTTTCTAATTTCTGGTCAATATTTTTATTATTTCTTGGTTGGTGTTCATTTGGTAAGTTGTAGTAGGGTTAGTAATTGATTTTTAAGTTGTAGTAGGATTATTAATTGATATTTAGTGTTTTAGCTGTTAGAGTTGGTAGGGGTGTAATGTGAGTTGGAATCTGAGAGTAGCCACTTTATGCAAAAGTGCCAAATTTTAGGTCCATATCTAGTCCTCCCCTCCCAAGACCCTAGATAGCCAACACCAACATTGGGTAATGACCCTTCTAGCAGTTAGAGTTGGTATTTGAGTTCCCATGTAGGGTAGTTTGTAAAGGACCCCCCCCCCCCCCCAAAAAAAAAAAAAAAAGAAAAAAGAAAACAAAAAAAAAGAAAGAAAGAAAATGGCTATGGTAACATAATTAGGTTTCTATTAACAACCGAACAGAGGAGAAGAGAGGAGAGAAGAGAGAAGAGAAGAGAGAGATTTGGAGTCTACTACAGTGCTGGCGGCGCCAGCTTATATTAATATATATAGGGCAACCATAAATAGAAGGGAAAGGACCCTTATGCCCCTACTTAAGTTATAGCATAAAAAACAAAAGAAAAAATTGCTTTAATTTGTCGAAACGGACCCTAACTCAGCAGAATACAAACATAATAAATAAAGCCAACATTCCAACACTCCCCCTCAAGTTGAGACATGGATATCAATCATGCCCAAATTGTCACAAATTATCATGCCGCACGTGTTGAAGGCCCTTGGTGAAGATGTCTGCAAGTTGTTCCTCTGAACTAACATAAGGAATGCACACTTCTCTGCTCACAAGTTTTTCTCTAATAAAATGCTTGTCCACTTCAATATGTTTTGTTCTATCATGGAGGACTAGGTTAGCAACAATGTTGATAGCAACCTTGTTGTCACAATAGAGTGATATAGGTTTGTTAACTGCAAAACCCAACTCTCCTAACAAATTTTTTGTCCACATCATTTCAGCAACTCCATGAGACATGGCTCTGTATTCTGCCTCGGCACTGGATCTAGCCACCACACTTTGCTTCTTACTTCTCTAGGTGACTAGGTTTCCTCCCACAAAGGTACAATACCCACTGGTAGATTTTCTGTCATCGATTGCCCCTGCCCAATCAACATCTGTATACACCTCCACTTTCAAATGCCCATGTTTCTGGAAAAGCAAACCAGCTCCTGGGAACTTCTTGAGGTATCTAAGGATTCTTTCTACAGCTTCAAAGTGAGTTGTCTTAGGATTATGCATGATCTGACTAAGAACACCCACTACATAAGCAATATCAGGTCTGGTCATAGACAAATATAAGAGTCTCCCTATAAGTCTTTGGAACTTCTTTACATCTTTCAAACACTCCCCTTGATTGTCTCCTAGTTGATGGTTGGGTTTAATGGGTGAATCAATTGGTTTCACTCCCAACTTGCCTATATCCTCTAATAGATCTAGTACATATTTTCTT